GGAAATCCTATAGGAAATTTTCGTAAGGGGTTTCAAAACCAATGCATCATAATGCAGGCTTATTTTTTATTTGTAAATAGTTTCTTTTGTTGAATTCTCTTTTTACAGATTGAAACAACAAAGAACCTTATAGTCAAAGGACAACTGACAAAGATAACAACCCTCATGGTGCAAGAAGAAACAGACTCAATAACTGGAAATCTATGACGAGATGCCTCTAGTTCTCCTGTCAAGGTTGGAAGCTTGGCAGAATTTAAGAGACAAATAAGTTTCAACTCTTTTGAAAAAAGACTGGTGTGCCACATCAACAATTCCAAAGATGTGGAGGTAAATGGAGTAGCCACCAAAATGACTACCGTCATAGTAGAAGATGCAACTGACTCCATTCCAAACTTGTGGCGTGATGCCTCATCTTCACCAGTCAAGGTCGGCAGGTCTGCAGAATTCCATGACAACAGTTTCAACTCATTTGAAAAACGCCTAGTATGCCACATTAACAATGCAAAGATGTGGTAACAACTGTTTTTCTTTTCAACACTGTCCCTAGACCTGTAATTTCACTACAATTAAATGTTTTATATAATAACTAACAAATACAATGTTTTAGGTATGTCTTCTTTGTTCATTTCAGATACAACCAAGCATGGATATAGATAAACAATTGACACTGATTGCTTTTTCCTCCTCTAACAATGGGGATTTACCCTTCCTAACTGAAGAGTTAGAAGGGGAAACAGCAATGAATAAAGAAATTGCAAAGGGACTTATCTCAATTACCAGCGAGGAAGGCATAAGGACTGAATTGCCCATGAAAATACATGCCTCAATTAGTGAGGACAAGATCGTCAAAGCAGGTAAAGATGGAACATGTTTCCATTTTATCCAATTATTACAGTTCCAACACTATTATCAAAATAACTTTTTTAAATTATTTATATACAAAGTAAATTATATATATTACTCTTCTGTTCCTTTTGGAGTGCAGCACAATGCTTTCTCACTATGTATGTAATGACTAAATGTTCATAAGCCCTTCATGCATCTGATTGGTGCTTTTTTTTTTAAATATACTTTTTTAATATACTTTTTTAATATATTTTTTAATATGAATGTAGAGAGCATCAAGAAATAAACCATTAAACTGGTCATTATGTGTCCTTGGGTTTTCTTTGAGCGGCAATGCGTAAAGCTGACACAAACTATGGAGTCGTGGATTGCATTTTGAGCCTTATAAAAGTTATAATTACATAAGTAGAAAAAGTTTTAATTACAATGAATATCTAAAGAACACACTGACTTAGAAATCAAATAAGTATGCCTTAAGTGCAAAAATGCATAATTTTCTTACATTTAGCAACACTTTTATTTTTGCACTTACAGATAGGAATAAACCCTGTAACCATGGAAGAATCGCACAGAGGGTACAAATATATATGCACTGTGAATTGTTATTTAACGAAACATGCTTCTGCTACAGCACTGCAGAACAAGAATGCTTCACCAGTAGCTGAATATGTTATGCAGCTGATGATGATGTGAGTTTACCAAAGTTTACAAGGCTTTTTTGTCTTAAGACGTTTAACAAACATTTTTCTTCAATGAAATGTTTTTTCTTTGCGTATTTATAGCACAATTTTACTGGAATGATTAATACCTGCATATTATAAAAGCAGAACATTGTCAAATAAGACAGTATTTAGCAAAATGCCCTTTCTCAGCAGATTTGGATTTACTTTGATTATTATTATTATTCTCCACATTTTTTTTAAATTCAGCAATCTGTCAAGACCTGGACTGTTAGGATTGGCGTTGGAGGTAGTAAAGATGCAGATAAGATGCATTCTGCCATCACTGCTGTGAGTATATTATGATACCACTGTAATATGCTATTTTTATACAAACTTTTGGGATACATTTATTTATCTTAATTATCATTTTTCAACATCTGTGCCACCTTGCTTTATAAAAATTATACTGTGAAATAAAATGAGCTTGAAAAAAAGTATGATTTAAACAGATTATACAAAATTATAAAACCTGAATGTATGAATTTTGAGTGATACAATGATAATTTCTTTTTATTCTTTATCCAGATCACAGAGGAGATTGGCCTGAGCAACAGTCCAAACACAAAGTTTTTAAAAATGAAGATAAGAAGACACCAACAAAATAAACGTCACTACAGCGGCAGGTAAAAATCCATAAATCCATTAAAAGTAGAACAACAGATCCACAGCATTCAGTGCAAAATAAAAAAAGTTATAAGTTATTTATATATAACAACTGAGTTTTTGATGCTCTTAATTCATACTTTTTCCATAATGGACCAAAGTCTGATAAAGTTACGACAGTACAACTTAAAATTGCCTTTGTCCTCTTGTTTGCATCCCATGTAACCATTAAGATTTTTGTTTTATTTAGGTGGTATAATTTATTTTCTGTTTTGTAGGAAAGTGAGGACTTTCACAAATCAGGAGGAGATGAGAAAGTGGAGTGAAAATTTAAACATGACAACATGCATGGAGGATGATGTAAGTGTTCATGTGCAGACCTTCCAACTGCTAAAGAAAAAAAATCTTTTTGGGAACATACAAAAAGGATAAATAGTTCATCACATTAAAGAATACATCTTGTGCCATTTGGTCTTAATGCAAATTGTTATTGTAATCTCTTTTAACAATGTAGGATTTTAAATATGACTTTTGGATTGCAGTTGCAGAGTGAAGTGTATCAGTTGCCTACAACTGCTGCAGAAATGGAGTCAGGACAAGTGCACAGCCAGTCTTACTACATGAGCCTCAAGACACCTCTTCCTCCAGATATCTTCTACTGCAGATGTCTTACAGTCAAAAAGAACCAAGAATCAAGTGGAATTTATCCATTTTATTGATATTTTGATTAAAATGCACTGATCACAATCCGTGAACATGCAATAATTTAGGAAAGTAAGACTAAACGGGATGACAATTCTTGCATTCACAGAGATGTTTTTGATAAAAGCAAGTCATATTTCCATTTCCTTTATTAAAATTAGAAATAAGGAGTAATAAAAGGGAACTTTTTTGTAGATGACGAAGCAAATCAAATCTAGAAATACCCATATTCAACCGGATGAGCCAAAAGGCAAAAGTAATACTGTACAGTGCATGCATGCCAGTAAAATTCTACTACTACTGCTACTGTATCCATGGTTTCACACAAGGCATACATTATAAAAGATCAAGATTAAATCTGAAAAAAAGATCCAACAATAAATAGACTGAAATGAGGCCTGTCACTCCACCAAACACAGCAGGCACTGCTTCACTTCCCAAAAAAAAGAGGAAGGCCAACTAAGGCTCCAACTGCACCTTTGAGACCACTTTTGCCCCAACCACCCCTTCTTGTTTTACCCCTGCCTGTGACAACAGTAACTAGTACTGAACAGATTTCTGTTTCTAGAGTTTCATACTCTACACAACATTACAGGAAGAGGAAGGCAGAGGAAGGGTGTATTTAAAAGGGCATACAAAAAGACTTCATCTGTGTATATGTCTGTAAAAAGTGCAACACAGAACGCAAGGCCCTTGCACATAGACAATACTATGGAAACTGGTACTGTGCCGAGACAGACAATTCATCTTTTGAGGAGTGGAAAAGACAGTTTCTAGCTAAGGGGTATTGAGAGAAATCATAAATCCATGGTTTTATTTTTTTTTTATTTCAATGTTTATTCCCCATACATGTCCAGATTAGACTTAAATGTAGATAAGAAGCAAGATGCAACCTTTTGGTAAGATTAAATTCCAGTGACGCTGTAGCATCATAGTGAGAGGTAATCAGATGATATCAAGATCAAAGGAGAATGAAGAAAAATGGACCTGCATGGTGCAACACTTACAGTTTCCACATGTAGGTCGAAAATTTGGCACTGAAATTGGCACCAATCTGATAAGGAACACATTTGCCAATAAAGAAGTAAAGGGATTGTTTGAAGTGTGAACACTAAGTATATCTTAAACATGTACTACAGAATCAAAGACAAGTTACTTTACTTGGATGGTTAGAATTTGACGTGATACCTTTCATGATCTTCAGTGAAATCATCATAGACTGCCACCATGGACCTGATAGAAATAAAGCAGTCAAGGAGAAAATTGCTGCTGTGAAAGCTGACAAGGTTGCTTACTATATATATACATATATACACACACACACACATACACACGTTATAGGGCTTTAATTTTATTAACATTGGTGTTAAAGCCTATTCATGAGGGATATAATTTGTTGCATTGGAGGGGGAAGGGGGACAAAAGACAAAAGCCTATAGCTACTAGTGCTAAATTTCATTTTCAGATAAATGATCTGGAGTCCAACTTAGTATTGTCTTTGTATTTTTGTCTTTACTGTTCATGTGACAACCTCCAGTGATTTGACACGCAATTATCTATTTCATGCTCAGCATCACAATTCTTCAAACTAAAAGAGTCCAATAAAGAAAATGTTTGTTGTGGAACCAAAACTGCATTATCCCTTTGGTTTGATGATTAATACTAATAACTATCTTTAGAGAAATTACCTGGTATATAAATGAAATGCAAAGAAATTGTGTTAAATCATATGTAGTGTTTTTATCACTGCCAAGAGCATCCTGGGATGTCTGCTGCGCATATGGGGACTGCACAGGGACGTGCACATATAAAGTAACAGCAAACCATGTGACGCCCTAGATCCCAGCAGATCTCAAGATGTGAAGACACGCACACGCTTCCATGCTGATAAAACCTACAAGCACAGTGCCTCACCTATATGCAGAAGGACCAGGCCCCCGTTTCACAAAAAAACTTAAGTCGGTTTCCCTGACTTAGGGCTTGGTTACCAACGTAATTAAGTCGTTACGTCACTAAGTCCCGTTTCACAAAGAATCTAAAACGTCGCTTACGTCGTTTTTTTCTTAGCTGTAAGTCGACGATGTCAAGCCTCCTCGGGAGGAGACTTAAGTTGTCGCTATCAGCAAAATGGCCGCTGCCGCAGTTGTTCATAATCTTCATCGTCAAGCTGTTCGAAGAGAGCGTGTCTTCAGAGACCGTGAAAATCCTTTAGATTATTTTAATGACGATCAGCTGAGGGAGCGTTTTAGGTTTAGAAGACATTCTATTTTATTTATCCTCCAGTTTATTATTAATACAATTCAACCTCCAACCAATAGAAGTCACTCAATACCGGCATTATTTCAGTTATTGATTACTTTGGGATTTGTAGCCATTGGTTTGTTTATGTTTGTTGTCAGGGATACAATCCCCAGGATATCCAAAGCAACTGTGTCCAGAGTGATAAGAAGAGTTACTGTGGAAATAACACGTCTTGCAGGACAGTTCGTACAGTTTCCTAATGGAAGGCGACTTGAAGAAGTAAAGAAGGGCTTTTTCCAACTTGCCGGTAAGTGCACAACCTTCAATTGACCCAATTTAAATTAGACAGCGTTCAAAAACATAGAGGGCGCTTACAATATTGCATTCGTCTCACCTACAGATATAAAGTAGGTCATGTTGCGCTTAGTGGATAAACAATGGCGGGCAATATGGAACGTTAGCTAAAGTAGGGAGAGCGGTTGCAAGAAAAGCGAAATATTTGGATTCAAAACCAGCATATGGAGGTCAAGTGGCCATCAATATATATTTGGTAACTTCTTTTCATAACTTCTTCAAAATTTTCCACATGAATGCCCAATGTAATAGGTGCCATCGACTGTACTCACGTACATATACTGGCACCAACTGGGGCTAGGGAGCCAGATTTTGTGAACAGAAAGGGCAGACACAGCCTAAATGTACAGGTAAAATATTTATTTACTTTTGTTGTTTTATTGACTTGTCGAAAATGTATATATGTTATTGTATATATTTTATATCCAATACATTATTTTGAGAATGATAAAAAAACTCATAAATTAATAAATTATATATATATATATACACACACACACACACACACACACACACACACACACACTTTTATTGACTTTTGTAAATTCACTGATTTCACTTACACATCAGTGAACAACACTGCTTCATGAAATGTTATTTTCTGCTATAAGAATAGAGTAAAACACTTTACATATAATTTTTTCAGGGATTTCTGAAATGGGTGCAACCAAACTTTCAGGGCTGATGAATGTTGAATTTATATAAGACTTCCATCTGCCATTCCTTAGTGAAACTCTCCCTGAAGGCCACTGCTTTTTTCAAGACAATGCCCCTACCCACACAAGCTGCTTGAACAAATAATTTTTGGGAGAAAAAACGGTGTCAATTGGACCCCCCGCCCCTCGAAAGTAAGCATTACGATGAATCAGAGGTTGAAGGAGATTTTTCAGCTAATGAGTGGGAGGATCCACCCCTAGAAAATACTGAATGGTAGGAGAAAGTACGTTTGTTTATAGTTGATCAAAACTATGGAGTTAATTTTATTGTCATTGCAGAAAATCATTAAACTTCTAGATCTTGCAATCAATCCAGTCATTACACTACTTAAGATTGCATATTTGTACAAAAAGACAATTAAGCATATGCCGTCCCAAAGCCGCCCCACTTGCCAGTTGGCAAATTCAAACCAACCTCGTTTTTACCATAAATGCAATTTAAGTGTACATGTCATCCAATGTCTAATGGACTAGAATGCATATGTTGTCGTGAGCTGAGCCCCATAGAAGACAGACTAGAAAATGAAAATTGCATCATGCATGTGGCTGCCTTCTCCAGTGTGTCTTAACGGAGACCTGATTGAAGTTAATATCTACCAGAATGTGGAACAGATAGGACCAACTGATGACAATGTGCTTGGTCTAGAACGCAGGAACATTTGTCATAACAAGCGATAAAGGCATCTAATGCAATATTTCGCTGTCAAAAATATTTTGGATATTTTGATTATCAAGAAGCCTTTAAATTGTTCGATGCAACTGTGAAACCGATTTTAATATATGCAGCAGAAATATGGGGATTTCAACAGTGCGCAAAAGTTGAACAAATTCACGCGGTTTAGACACTGAAGGAAGGTCATCCTGGGCAACTTGTATTAAAAACTTATTATTTCATTATGTTTTTGGATACGCCTGGATAGCTAACGCTATCGGGGACACAGAGGCGTTTTTAAGTTTATTTAGAACTAGAATAACAGATTGTGCACAACAAACTATATTTTCCGATATTAATGTATCATCTAAATGCATCAGTTATAAACTCTACAAAAGCGCTTTAAATCCTGAACGATACCTTTCACTGCCTTTAACCTACAAGCAAAGGAAAATACTTTCAAATTTTCGTTGCTCAAGTCATGAGCTCATGCCTTAAACTAGGCATTTACAGAATTGAAGACGAAATGCATTTTTTACTTTTATGCCCCTTGTATGATGAATTCAGACTGAAATACTTTAGAACCGAATGGACATCCTGCTTTCCAAATAAACATTTGTTTACAACTATAATGTCTGACGAGAGAGAGTATTTTCTCACTGGCTAGATTTTTATTAAACACCTTTGCTCTAAGAAGTAAAATAGTAGATAACAATGTTAACCTTCCAGATATGTAAATGAAATACTTGTATATGTATGGTGTATTTATAATTTATTTCTGTATGTAAAGCCTTGATTGTATATGTCTTCTGTGTTTATACAGATTGTAATGTATTGTTGGCCAGATGCCTTAAACTACAAAGAATAAATAAATAACTTCAGCATCACTTCATAAATGTTCTGTATCTCCCTCTTGATAACCCTCAAATGGAAGTCTTAAATGAAGCATTTGATGAATCTTTTATGAGTAATTATTTTGGAAATTCTCAATCAGAATTTGACAGACAACTCATTACTATTTAGGCAGCAAACTTAGATATAGTTTTTGTCAACTGGGAGAAAATGACATCAGCACAGAAGTGACCTCACTTCCATTGTTTCTGCCATCCTTCGTATGACCCACGCTACCACTGATTACAATCCCAATATTTAGAAAACAATTTGAGCATTCGTTTTCAGGGATCAACCCAGTGTGTAATTTATCATATTGTACTGACATGGTTTTCTCTTGTTTTCTGTTAAATTATTTAATATGTGTACCAAAAACTTGTTTCCTCAGTTCATAGTTATTATTATGCAATTCCTTGATCCTGGAATCTTAAATCTTGTGGCCCTTCTCCTTTATCTTCTTTGTCGTCACACTATCATGTGAGCCAGATCTGTTGCTTCATTTTTGCATACTGAGGTGAGGTTAACTAAAATGGTTTTTCTACTAATAGAACGTTTTTATACTATTT